GTTGAGGTCGAGACTCTTATTTCCCTTTCTGCTCATTCTCTGCTTCCTGACTGTGGAGGCAATGTCACCTGCCACTTCTTGATTTTATCATCCCACCATGGCGGACTGTATCCTCTTGAACCCTTCTTCCTCCTCTACAAGTCACTTCTTGTCAGCACTCTGTCACAGCCGTGACAAAAGTAGCCAATACACTGAGGGGATACCTTACAGCCGCGAGATCGCAGCTCCCGGATATGCGGAGCTACAGGTCTACAGGAGACCTTGTCTGACAATTCTCCAGCCTCTTCTCTGCAGGTCAGAGCCATTCTCTCCGCTCAAAGTGGGACACTTCCCTCTTTGCTGGAAAACGCAGCTGCTACCTGAGCCCAAGGTTTACACGTGGGGTTTTCAGCCACCAGAAAGGAGAGTAACTTTTCTTTCCATATTTTAGTCCCTAATGTCTATATGATGCCAGGCACACAGATATCCGGAACACACCAGCTACAGCCAGGGAAGCCTGATTGGGTCAGCCCAACAGGGTAGGTACATCTGCTACAGCCAAGGAGGCTGGATTAGATCAGCCTAACACAGCACAGAAGTTATCGTCAAAGAGACTGGACTGGGCCAGCCCAACCTGGTACATCAGCTATAGCCAGGGCTGTCAGACTGGGTCAGTTCAACACTATAGATTAGCTACAGCCAAGGAGGCTGGACTGGGTCAACCCAACATAATACATCAACTCTAGCTGTGAATGGCAGAGGGGTTTTCAGCCAAGGTCTGTTGGGGAGAAGATGTATCGGCAAAACATAGAACTGCCCAGCCCCTGCCACAAGAGGGGTGGCCTCACCTTTTTCAATCCCCACTAAGTTCTTCCGTAGAAACGGCTTCATATAAACAGCTAAGTTCTATTTCCATTACATGAATACCACCCACCCATTCAGAGAAGGAGAACGCTGAAGCTATCTTGTTTATATGGAATTTATATAACAAGGAACACGTGCAACTTCACACTTAGAAAGTTACAGGAAACAAACAGCAGCTCACGATGACTAAAGGCAGCCTGGCCGTGAAGCTCCAGGTATTTGCTTTTCAGGGAATTCTTCTCCTTTGTAGCGGCCTAAGCGGTTACAGATCGACTCAGTTTTCATAACATAGATGATTTCAGCTCAGCAATACAGTAGGTTCAGACAAAAAGGACCTACATTTTGGAATTTTCAAAAGGCTGTATTTTGTATAATAAATATATACTATGCCCAGACAGAAAAGTAAATTTGAAAAATGGGCATTTTATGATGGTTATACGTGTTTCCCAAGTTTTTGGCCTATGTCAGCAGGAAATCTTGGTATACACAGGACAGTTCTTGCTTGACCAACGTTAACTGAGAACTTTTAGACTCTGATAGATCAATAAACACTGCTTTTATAAATAGATTCAATCTCATAATGGAAGTTTTAGAAGACAAGTGGAACCTTTCCCCCCAGTACCTCCTAACGTACTCTTTAATTTTTATTATATTTCTTCTTTTTGTTTGTTTTCTGCCTCTACTCCTAGAAGATAATTTCACCAAGGAAGGGACTTTTGGTTGGCTGCATTCAGAGATCACAGTGCCTGGCACGCAGAAGGTGGTCTATGAATCGTCTGAATGACCAACTGGTTAAAGTTAGGCATGATCTAATTTCCTCATGATTATACCCTAAAGATTCCAGGTGAGTGTGTTTCAAGCAATGCCGGGAAGGTTAGGTACAGTGTAGGTGCTGTGGCCAGATTAGTACTCCAGGACCGAGTGTCTAGTCAATACCCAGGCTGAACGAAATTGACTCAAGAGCCACTGTGCACACGATCGCATCTCTCAGTGAAGACAGTCTCAGGACTCTGCCTCGAAGTTCGTTTGGACAGACAGCAACTCTTCGTCGCAGGATGTCTTGCTTTTTAAATCTTAGAAACATTTATTCTTGTTTGTATGAGTGTGTGTTTGCACATGGATAGGTGCACAGGCGCAAAGATGCTTTCAGAGGTCAGAGGTGTTGGACTCACAGGAGCTGGACTTATAAGTCGTTATGAACCACCCGGTGTGGATGCTATGAACCAAACTGGTGGTCCTTCATAGGAGCAGCAAGGCTTCATAACCACTGAGCCATGCCTACATTCCTCTCTACTTCAGATTCTTCTGTATCTAGTTGCTATTACTCTTCTTGCTGAGTATGGATGTTTATCGTCATCTTGTCTTTTTAAAACTGTGACATCTACTTATGAGCACACAGAAAGGAAGACACTGTAGACATTCTGAACCTTGTTTTGACCTTCCCTTCTGGACTAATATAGAGTTGCAGGGAGGGACTGAGTTATTTACAGCAGAAACAAAACCCAGATTTTCTCTTCTCCTCTAGAAGACTGGTAAAAGGAGGAAGAGGCTTCTATACACGGAGTCTGGACAAGGTGGAGGGAAGAAGGAAAAAGCAACCTCAATCTGAACAACAATGCAACTGAGGCTTTCCACAGTGTATAACTATAAGCGTTTTGTCTTAAAAAGTACATTTGAAGAGTTTTAGGGAACTGGAGTGGCTAATTTTGGTTGTCAACTTGATTGGATTAAGAAATGCCTGGAGGTGTATGGGGAGGTGTCTATGAGAACGTTTCTAGAGAGATTTGACTGAGGTGGGAAGCCTCACGCTGAACGTGGTGGCACCGTTGTCTGTGAGGGGTCCCATGCTACAGGAGATGAGGACAAGTCGAGGACAAGGAGAAAGCCACCGAGCACCGGCGTTCACTTCTTGGTGCTTTGTGCTTTGCCGAGGTATGAGCGGGCAGCCTGTGCTCCTGAGGCTATGGCTTCAAGCTCCCTGCTGCCAGGCCCTCCCTGACACAGTCTCTCACACCGTGGGTCAAAGGAGTCCTCCCTCCAGCTGCTGCTGTGTCACAGCAATGAGAAGAGTAACTAATGTAGGAGTAGTCGGTGCCAACCGAGCAAAGAAACAAACTGTGCACAAGAGGTATTTTCTTCAGGGCCCTTCCCCTTGTGGCCTGAATATCTTACTTCTGTTGAAGACTGAAATATATATTTTTACTTTGGAAAGTAACTTTAAGAGATGGACAGTGTGTACTTTGTTTTAGAGTGGGCGGCTGTTCTCTCCACGAAAACAGGTCAACAGTGACCATTCTCCAAAACCGGGAGGGGCTGCTGCCTGTGGTAGTAACATTCTGCGGCTAACCTGACTGAGAGAGAACGTCTGCACTCCTTATCCCAAGGTAAAGAATCTCTTCTCTTTCTCTTTCGGCAACTCCTCCTCTTCGAAGCCTGCACCGATACAGATTTTATAGTCACTGAATCGTGTAGATCACCTTTGACATCTCCTTTCGGTGTTTCCTTCGAGTCAGAGCCCAGGCCAAGCCTTCTACGCTGTTCTTTCGTTTATACTATTAGAAGGCTCCAGAGAGGACAATTCATGACTCTGGAGCGGAAGCGATCACTTCAGCAGCCATCTCTCTTTCAGTACAACTACAATCCTTTGTGTTTCGTTAACTTTTACTAGTGCAACTGTCATACTTTGCACAACTGGCAGTCCTCAGATGCGTGCTTTTCACGCATTTCAAGGCAGATTAGAGAGCAAAGGCTAACTTTCAGTTATTCCATAACAAAGCCATATTCCTTGATTTCTTCAAAATGAAGTCTGAAAATCAAGGACCTCCTATAAATGACAGCCATCTCAAGGTGACCCTCCTCCCTTGAGCAAGGTGCCTTGGATGTAGTTTGGGCCAGTCAAGATGTACCATTTCACCTCATCACGTGTGTGTGTGTGTGTGTGTGTGTGTGTGTGTGTGTGTGTGTGTGTGT